AGCTTCAAATGGTCACCCACACAGCAGCCATCCTTGTGCTCAGTTGAAAGTTTCTCAACAAATTTCCACATTATTTGCAACTCCAACATGTAGAGGGGACAGAGTTTTAAATTGAAATTTTTTTTTTAAATAATTAAAAAAAAAGAAAAAAAAAGAAAGGGTAGTGTCTTGGATGAAAGACCGCAGCTTAACAACTTTCAGATTCAAAACCTTCTCTCAGTTGACAACCTTAGCAGTCTCCAACATTACTCACCAATTTCGTATAGCTGTCCTTGATAAGCCTCTATTGATCATAGTACTTGTCGATACACGTAAGTGTAAGCTTTTGACAAATGTCGGCATGAATCAAAGTGTCCACCAGGTGCTCGATGAATTGGTCAATTGAATTTTTTTTTTTGTTGAAATTATGATCTCATTATTTGAAAATCTTGACTCCGCCACGGAACCCTTAAATAAGTCTTTTGATAGTGGCTCTGTACCAACACCCAAAAGAAAAATTGAAAAAATCTCTTTTTTTTTAATTTTTTTTACAAGCATATTTTCTTACTTGCAATGGAAAAATCACGAATGAAAATTATTTGAAAATGAAACCTAGTTCGGGTATGAGATATACCTCATCGTTCAACTACGACATACCTAATTGTAATGTGCGATCCACTTCCTTTTTCATTCCTTGTATTCTACTAGAAATAAAATGGTGTGTTCCTCGAGGAGAAAATGTAGTGAAAAAATGCATGTGGTTCTTCAGAAAACTCAGGCATTTCTCAGCTGTAAGCTTCAAATGTTCACCCGCACAGCATCCATCCATGTGCTCAGTTGAAAGTTTCTCAACAAATTTCCACATTATTTGCAGCTCCAACATGCGAAGGGGAAAAGAGTTTTATATTTAAAATTATAGGGTAGTGTCTTGGATGAAAGACCGCAGCCTAATCAACATTAGTGGAATTAAAATATGTTTGTAGAAGCAGCTTAACCACTTCCAGATGCAAAATCTTCTCAGTTGCAACTTTAGCAGTCTTCAATATTACTCGACAATTTTGTACAGTTGTCCTTGATAACCCTCTATTGATCATAGTAGTTGTCGATATACGTAAGCGTAAGCTTTTGACAAATGTCGGCATGAATCGACAAGTGCCCACCAGGTGCTCGACAAATTGGTCCATTGATGTTTTTTTGTCGAAATTATCATCTCACGATTTGAAAATCTTAACTCCGCCACTGGACCCTCCAATAAGTCTTTTGATATTGGCTCTGTATTAATGGATTCTCATTTGCCATGCATAACTAAGGCCCCGTTTGGGATCGAGGTGATTTTAAAAAAAACCACTGTGAAAAAAAGCTGAGGGTCATTTTTGTGTTTGGTAAACTGAAAAAAAAAAAAGCTTATTTTGGAAGCTGCTGTGAGAATAAGCTGAAAATCAAAGGAAAAGCTGAAGCTGCTATTTGCTGCTTTGAAAAAAAACCAGTTTTTTCAAAGCACACGGAGCTACAGTGCTCCTTTAATGAAAAGACACACTATCATCCTGCTTTTTTTTCCAAAAGCACTTTCACAAAAAAATTTACCAAACACTCTACTGGCTTTATTTCACAGCCGCTTATTCTCACAGCACAGCCGCTTATTCTCATAGCAGCTTTTTTTCAAAGCACAGCATTACCAAACCAGCCCTGTAAGGCTGTGGCTCCAATAGGGCACACGTCCATCAATTAGATAACCAAAGGCCGTAAATGATCAAAGAATTGCCTTGCGCTTCATACAACCTGAAAGAAGGGTAGCCACTTTAAGAGCAACTCTACCGTTGTTGGGATAGGCAACACAATCCACCCCCTTCCCTTTCCCAAAACACTTCAACTCACTCGGGCAATTGGGCTTAAGGCAAGCTCGGTGGAGAAGTCAAGCAATAAGAGCACTTCCAATGTGTAAAAGCTCCCCTTGGCAATAGACAATTCAATCCCCTTAACTGAATACTATCTACCTTTAATAAACAGTAATTGTCTATTTCATCTCCACCTATACTGAATAGCCTATGCAATTCATATTAAAATATTAGTATTTTTATTTTATAAAACAATAAAAAACAATTTTATTTTTAGTTTCAGATAGAATTTTTAACCGATCATGTCACACCATGTCACTATCCGAAAGTATATTTTTGTGGATAAATTTCCTTAAGATTTATAATCAATTATGTTGCCCCTCATGCCTTTACCTATTTAGAATCATTGATAATATTCAAATCGTGAGTAAGATGAGAGAAAATGGTAAGGTACATTTTTCAAACTTTTACTTAATTTTAAATTTTTAAATTTTTTTTATTAACTTCTAGACCGTTGGATTACAAAAAAATTGAAATCCAACAGTCTAGATTGTGACATGCCCCAACATAACAATTTTTTTTCAATTTTTTAATGCCGAAAAACATGGAACCCTTGATCTGGAAATTAAATGATTTAGATTGTGCCACATCATCTAGCCGTTGGGGAAGGTAATTGGTAAAGGAAATCAAAAGGCCTTTGTCACATAATCATTTCAGAGCTCGGAGGTGAGATCAGAAAGGCAAATGTTATTCAATCAAATAAAACTTGAATAATGTGTAAATGCGGATGGTAATATCTAATAATATTAAATTTATCTATGAATAACATGAGTGTAGAATCATCAAAGCATGGGATAATGGATTTTGAGTCTTTATAGCTCATCCATTTGCCTATAAATGGATGTCAAGCAAATGTTCAAACCTTATAGGAAAAAAAAAGTGTCTCAAAACCCACAATCTCATGCTTTGTGTCTTTCATCAATGAATCTAATATCATAACAAAAGGCCATCCACTCCACATTTACAACATAACACATAATATTTACCATTATAACAAACCAGACACATGACACATGAATTTGCCATGCAAAAGGAATGTAATTTTTATCGTAACACATAAATGTTACCAGTCAATGGAGAAATTCTAACACAAATGTTATCGTAATAATATTGCAAATTACTATACTGACAAATATTTGCATCCCAGATGTGCATGTCGGTTCTCAATGTAGGAAGGCTCAGCGGCATTCCTTTTTTACGTCGATGAAAACACTTGCTGTTGACAGGAACATGTGCTTTGAACACCAGTCAAAGGAAACTCTGGAAACTTGCGCATTGGCAATTTAACAGGTCCATTTGCAATCTTCAAGCCATTTCTTTCAATCTCTCTGGCTCAACAAAGCAATAATGAACTAAATTCGAGCCATTTGTTCCAATCTCTCTGGCCCAACAAAGTAATAATGAACTAAATTTAAAAATCTGATTAATTCAAATAATGTGGTTGTCCACATCAAATACCATCTTATGAAAATGTGGTACAAAAACATGATATAAATAACATTACTCTAATAAAAATAAGAATCAACAAAAAAAGGAAATTATATTGATAGAAATCAATAATAAAAAACGCAAAGGATTTGAAATTAAATCAGAAGAGAAACACCTACCAAGAATCAATAAAAAAATAGCAAATTACATTGATGGAAATCAATAAAAAAAACAGTTTGAAATCAAATCAGAAAAGCAACACATACAAGGAAAATTTGAACAGAATGTGGCAAAGATGTTGAACTTCCAAAAACATTTATTCATTCTTGTGTCTCAAAACAATTCTAATGTTACCATAGAATTAAATACCATATTTATATCTAATAGTTTTTTTTTTTTTTTCGAAAGATAGGGATTCAATAAATACGAATAGAAAGATTAGCATCCTTAGCAACAGTGTTAAACAGAAAGTCCGGGCCGATACAATCCCAGATAAACTCTTAGCCTTGCTTGAAAACATACTTGGCAATTTCATCAGTCAAAGGAAACTCTAGAAACTTGCGCATTGGCAATTTCACAGGTCCATATGCAATCTTCGAGCCATTTCTTCCAATCTTTCTCTGGCTCAACAAAGCAATGATAAATGATGAACTAAATTTAAAAATCTAATTAATTCAAATGATGTGGTTGTCCACATCAAATATCATCCTATAAAAATGTGGTACAAAAACATGATATAAATAACATTACTTTAATAAAAATTAAAAATAAGAATCAACAAAATAGGAAATTATATTGATAGAAATCAATAATAAAAAACGTAAAGGATTTGGAATTAAATCAGAAGAGAAACACCTTCCAAGAATCAATAAAAAATAGCAAATTACATTGATAGAAATCAATAAAAAAACAGAGTTTGGAATCAAATCAGAAAAGCAACACGTACAAGAAGAATTTGGACAGAATGTAGCAAAGATGTTGAACTTCCAAAGACATTCGTTCATTCTTGTGTTTGAAGATATCCCAAATTGCAGCAGAAACTTGTTGAGAATATAAAATAGTCGGTAGTAAAAACTTATTCATACTTAAAGTCCCAAAACGTTTCTGGTGTTACTATAGAATTAAAGACCATATTTATATTTAATAGTCAAGACAAGGCATTTTTGCACTTTTGCTCTCTTTCCCATGCAAGAAGTTATGTCCTCACTATTGGATATAAATATGATCCATAATTCTACGATAACACCAGAAACATTTTGAGACTAAGTATGAATAAGAAGTCTTCACAACCGACTATTCCATATTCTCAACAAATTTCTGCTGCAATTAGAGATCTCTTCAAACACAAGAATGAACCAATGCCTTTAAAAGTTCAACATCTTTACCACAGATTCTCCTGATTTGATTCCAAACTCTGTTTTTTTTATTAATTTTCATCAATGTAATTTGCTATTTTTTTTATTGATTCTCGGTAGGAGTTTCTCTTTGCCACATCCATAAGAAGTCTTCACAACCGATCATTCTATAACACATAACTGTTGCATAAATTTGCCATCAACGTAACACATAATATTTACCACAGGGCACATGAATTTGCCATCGCAAACAAAGCTTATTTAGATAACACTGCACGAAGACAATTCTTGCCAGGGCAGATGATTGATCCAACACAACCAAAACAGAAACAATAAGATTTAGTTTCTCAGACATCCAAGGAAGGAAAAAAGAAGCATAAGCTCTCAAGCCCGGCAAAAGGCGAAAGCTCTTAGGCGGCCACTGCGAATGTTCTTGAGAAACAAGCCTTTGGATTTATCATCACAGACCATAAATTATCAAATTTAACAAAATAAGACAAGAACTATAAAAAAGAAAGAACAAGGGCATCAGTTCTCCAAGGTGATAGATAAAACATCAATGAAATTCAGACGCAAATTACCCATAAATACCAATTTGATTCATCACCTGCCCACATTCTTTTAAAGAAGAAATAACAAAACGAGTGGGGTTGTGTGTGGGAGTGAAATTTGAAGTGTGAAAAGAAATGGAATTTAGAAAGAAAGCGATCGGAACCTGTCGGGATTCACAGCAACATCAAACTGTTACCAGTCAGTGGATTGACAGACATGAATTTCTATCGTCACCTCGCTTTCTTCGATCAAAACCAGTTCCTAAAACAGCTTAAAAAATCATCAAACAAACTAAAACATGAAACCAATAGAATAAAAGGAGGCTCAGAACTTCTTAGAGGGTTGTGACCGTCATCGACGGAGCTCGAAAGCTGCCGCCTTTGGCACAAAGAGCTTCATCAAGGCCATCATTACAGATAATTACATGGAAACACAGAAATTATGAGTTATGAAGGGAAACGGGGATTGGGTGGGATGGGGGTTGTTGAAGCGGCTATGGACTTGAAGGAGGAGAAGGTGAGCAGATGCTTCGATTTGGGGATGGCAGTTGTGAAAGAGGCAATTTATAGACTCTATGAGAAAACCCTAGTTTTGTAAACCCTATGGGCTGAAACGTTGGGCTGCATTGGGTACCAGGATTAGGGTGCAGAAATAATTTTCTTGGGCTTTAACGGACTGCTTCTCCATGAATATTTTTGTTTTTACTTTCAAATTTTCATTTATTTCTGGAGAAAATTGAGCAATCAGATTCAAATTACTTTAGTCTAAAGAAGGCTTTTCAATTGCACCGTATAAATGAACAGTATTTTGAACCACATTTTAGTTTATTTACAAGATTGCCACCGCCTCTTCAGTTTTAGATTAAAAACTAGCAGGAATGCCCGCGCTCTGCCGCGGGATTTGAAACCGTCTCTACCATCAACCAAAATAATTCTATAATTTAAACCATCCAAACTTGTTTAACATAGTTTTTTGTCTATCATTATATATTTCCTCTCACAATTTTTATGGAATAAAAATCTAAACATTAAAAAATTTAAACAGAATTTTGCAAATAATCTTTGCATTTAAGCACTTTCAAAACCAGTGGCTCTTTCAAATTTTTTCTAAACAAAGAAAGGGAAAAGTGTTCATCACTGATATTGTGCATCCAATGTACTGGTTTCTTGTCCACCTTCTCCTCCTAACCCTTTTATCAATAACCCATCTCATTATGTCCCTCAGAGACTCGAAACCCAATTCCAACGGTCCATTTAACACCTCCTAATATCAATTCCTAACAAAGTAAATACAAACGCAAAATCAGCAGCGCTTTCAAATATTTTAAAGGGAAAGTGGGGAAATATTATCAAGAAAGATGCAAACGAAGTGTATTCATCACTGATATTGAAGAGAAAACGAAGTGTATTCATCACTGATATTGAAGAGAAAACGAAGTGTATTAGTATATTCATCTTTCCCCATTCCTTGTAAAGTTGAGGGATTCGAATTTTACCTCCCAGATGCACCGATCTGGGTCATGCGGCCTGTGCTGTTTTCATCCGTTAAGCTTGTGTGTTTACTTCTATTTCCTTGGCTCTATCATGGATCCGTATACCCCTACATAAAGAGCCAAAATATGAGTACATACAGGTTAACTAAGGCATTATAAGGAACTGTCGTTGAACATGAAAATGATGAGTATAGCGACTGCAGAAGCAGCAGAACGAGATCTTTACCTTCATGATTTGTAGCGGCCAAGACATTTGCTGTTTATTTTGCCTTCTGGGACCATTAGACCGGCAGCTTAAGCTTGTTTTCTCTCGGTTATACGCTGGATTTGAGTGTCCTTTTTCAGTCCCAGTAGTGGTTTTATTATTCAAATATCAGATCAACGTTCATCCATCAAAAGGGTTACGGGTTTTACCTCAACATTTGCAGATCCTTGGTTGAGCTGAGCTGCTGACTCAGGGTGTGTTCTTGTGTTGTTGTCTCGGATTTGAAACCATTAGGGCTCTTCACACTGATAAAACCACATGCAGGTGTTAGTGTTTGTTCCAGATCTCTCCAACAAATAAATTGGACAATGAAACCACAAGATTGGAGGATGATTTTACCTTTGGGTTTCCGTTTTTTCGATTTTCCACCACGGCGGGGTACTCACGGAGGTGCGTTGTTGTTGGGTTATGGAAGGCTACGGATGCATCAATCTGCGAGGAAACTGAGACATACATAGAACAATCAAATGCATCAGTCACAATCATTTTCATTTTACTCTTGGTGATGAAGTTAGCAGAAATGGAGCTACATCTTTACATTTGAACGAACAAAAGGAGAAATGGCATGGCTTAGTTTTTACCTGCAAAGGGAGGATTTTTGGACGACCTGTTTTAGATCTGCTCGTTTGGGTCTCAGTGTTGCGGACCAGAGCACTATTATAGAGGAATCAGACATGCCTGTGTCGCTCCACCATGGATGGGGTCCGAGAGAACAGAGAAGAGATCCGAGAGAGGGCTGAAAAATAAAATGGAAGGTTTGCAGGAAGAGGGATGCCGAACTGAGAAGGATTAAAAGCCTTTTTAGCTTTTCTAGAGAGAGATGGACCAATGGATTGATCTTCACCCTTAATTTCGAATCCTATGGAGCTCCCCTTCCCGATGCATGACACGTTGCGCATCATCAGTTTTTTTTTCCCTAGGACACGGTTTGAAATTAATGTGGGAGAAGAGCCGTTCGGCTCACTGCTCGAGGATGCCAGCTGCATCCCATTCATTTCGCAGGGGATCCATCATGCCAACCTGACGTTTTTTTTTTTTTTTTTTTTTTTTAAATCTGCATGCCTTTCTAGAAGGGGATCCAATGTTCAAAGCACACCACTTTTCAAATTGCATGCCACAATGGAGTCCATATTCCTAGGTGCTTTCTTGTCTCATTATTTATTTATTTTTTATTTTTATATATCATGTTCTTTATTATGTTCTTTGTCCTGACGTTTTTGTCCTATTTTTGTTAATTAGTCATAGATTTAGTTCGTTTCCGTTGTAATATAAAATTTTCTTTGGTTTTGTTCCTCATTTTCCCTTTTATAATTCTTATATGTTAGTTTAAGTTTATTTCATTTTTGTCATTTTTCTTTTATTTTTCACACCTTGAGGACAATGTGTGATTTAAGTTTGGGGGTGGGAAATAAAAACTTTAGGTTTTTAATTTTTGTGTCAAGTTTAAAAATTTTCATTCTTGCTAAGTTAATATCCATAAATTATTTTAAACATTAGAACAAATGGACATGGTGAAGATTAATCCCACAGTAGAGTCTTTTCTATTTATCATTGCTTAGACACTAATTCATGAATTATACTTTGAACTTTGCACATCACACCAACATGGTTTGTAGGGAGTGAGATTGAAACATTTACTTTTAGTCTAAGTTTATTTTTAATTTTTGTTTTAAGTAAAGTCAGTTATTATTATGAATAAAGTAATAATTGTCTCACCCGAGGTTTTGCCTAGTAACCGAGCCAGTCCTGCCTAATCAGCAGTGATTCTCGCGTCAAACGGTAGAGTTTTGGCATGGGGCAGGGTGGTTAGTTGGTTTCGTAGCCTTTTCAGCTCGGGTTAATAAGTCCTTAGAGGTGTTCTACACCTATTGCCCTAAAGCCCTAGTGGTTTGGGAGTCATTGACCTAAAGTTCGCTACATGGGTTGGATCGAAAGCTTAAGTAAACCGACATTGTACGACCACTACTGTTACTGAAAAAAAAAATTGTTATAAATGATGAAAAAAAAAAAAGAGGAAAATTTGAAAAAGAAAAAGAAAAATAGTAATATTTAATGAGAGTATGTGTGAAATAAAGAAGGACGAGAGGTAAGGGTTTTAGTCGAGTCTCCTTAATTATGTTGGTTCACTTTACACCAAAGGCAGTTTGTGAATTCTTTTCTAATTGATTCTAAATGGCTTAGACTCTGTGGTGGGATTGGTTGGAACTTTTGAAAAAAATGTTCTAGTTTTTAAAATTTGCTATGGATTGCAACTTTGAAGGTGAAAATTTTTGTCAGTTAATTTTAGCTAGTTGTCTAGTTTGTTAAGTTTTTATTTTTGTTTGAGTCTTGTTTTGCTTGAGGACAAGCAAAAAGCTAAGTTTGGGGGTATTTGATGAGTAGATTTTATATTATATATTTTACCCTAATCTTAGTATATTTTGGTTAATATTTTGGAAGAATTTTGATACTTTGAATTGTAATTTCAATATAGGACTTTCGACTTCCTCTTGAGTAAAACAGGACCAAATGGACGAATTTTTACTATTTTAATTTAGGGTTATGCTTGTCTTTAGGGGGATTAGGGTTTGGGTGGAGTTTTAGCAGATATATTGCTTGGCCGTCTACAGTTTTTCGGAGTACGCTTTATTTTATGCAATATTGGAGACAGAGAAGTGCTAGGGTTTTGAAGACTTTTTACTTGAAGGTGCTTTCAATCCTTTTCTTGAATATATTTTCTATGATTTCAATTATGAATATGCGGAACTAATTTCTTTTGCTAGGGCGAAGCCTTGAGCCTTAGCATGAATATGTGATTTTTATTTAATTTCTTATGATTGATTGCATGGGTACTTTGAATTGTTAATCATCGGGATAAAAACTATCTAATTGTTTTAATGCTTTATCACCATTAGGATTTTTAGAAAAGTAATTTGATGCAATTTTGGTCGGAAGGTTCCCTGAAATTGACGCTGGCTTCTTGTGATTAATAATTGTAATTTCACTTAGGATGAATATCACGTCTTAAGGATTGCATGGTTTTCAAAGGATTTTCAAAAAGCATAATGAGTCTTTCATGTTCAGATTTGATCCGAACGTCCGGACGGGTTGCATGTTAGATATACGTTCTATGTTGGAGGTTCCAAGTAGAATATGAATTAGGAAAATCTAACCTTCAAAGTGGCATGTGTAGATTATAAGTAATTGGTAAAAATTCATAGGATTGCTAGGTGATGGTGGAACACTAGTGCTTTCTTAATTTTATTCTCTCAAAACTGTTTTCTTTTCTCTCTAGCTCTAATATTGCAAATTGTTTATTTTAATTCATTAAATTCGTTTTTATTTTAATTAGGTTATAAAATCAATCACTCCAATTTCTACTTTACAGTAATTAAATGGAATCTGATTAGTTCGAATTATTTAATAATCCCTGTGGAGACGACCTTGCGAGATCCGTTTATATTAGAATAATCTTGTGATTCTTGCAAGTAAAATAGGAGATTTAAGCCCTTTCACATGAGTAGTAAAAAATCCCTATCACTCCCCCATGACTTTCTATGAGGTTCATAGTTGTTTTCAGATATTACAAAATGTTAGGACAATCCATTGGTGCACAATGGCATGGTTGTCAAAGTTATAGCTCATAAGGTAACTCGCAATTCACAATTAAACATCATGGATATTGAACTCAAGTCTCCTAGAGTGTGAAACTAACTGATGTTAACAGCCAGATGTAGTGTGTCTATGAACTGGTGAATATTGTCAACACCCTTCTTCTTACTTGTATGAATAAACTTCTCCCAATCTTTCCTCCCAAGTAGTTAGCGGAAAGTGAGGGACCATTTTCTATTTTGACATATCAGAAAATGCTGTGCTTAGGTACCAACTTCCTTTGTAGTGTTTAATCTTCTTCTTCCATGTCACTAAATAACCTTCGTTGTTATTACTTCTTTCTAGAGATAACCTTCGTCTCCTCGTTTGACTGGTATAACAGTTAGACTTGGCATTCGTGTCGTGTTTTCCGTGTTCGTGTCGTTTTCGTGTCATACCCGATATCTTAACGGGTCGTGTCGTGTAACACCCGTTAAAATAAACGGGTAAAATGACCCGACCCGAAATCGACCCGATAATATTAACAGGTAATATGACCCGACCCGTTACCCGTTAAGGAAAATATATTTTAAACCAATAAATAATCAAATGAAAAACATAATACTAAATAAGTATATACATTTCATATTATCACATCCAAAACATAAAAACGCAATTTTGTTTTAAGTATATTTTCGCTTACCTAAAGTCTTTAATAGTTTTTTAATTAATGTAGAAGTGTCAAAAAATATAGAAAAAAATATATAAACACTCGTAATGACAAGCTTTATAACTTTCATGAAGAGCTTAACTTCGAAATTCGCCACTATAATCATATAAATCATAGATCAAAATTTAACCGTTGATTGTTGTTTACATTTATGCTTCATTGTTCTCATCAAATTTCGTTTTTTTAGATTTTCTTTTTTGAAAACATGATCTATTAGAGGGTGCAGGTAGATGAACGGTTTGGATCGTTGATATTATATTTAGAGTTCTATGGTTAGTGAAAATATTGCTTGATGTTTATAAAGTTTCTACAAATTATATGACATTGACTCATATTTCAGTTAATCGTAAATATCGAAACGTGATATCATCTTCTTACATCCACCAGATGATCATGTTTTCAAAAAATAAAATTTTAAAAATGAAATTCAATCAGAAGAATAAAGTGTAAATAACAATTAATGGTTAAATAAATTTAAGGTTTCACTACTACAAAATTATCTATTGCTGGCGGTCCAAAAACTTTTTTCAACAATCCAACCGTCAAACTTATTTGTATACATTCCATGATTGCATACGTAAAAAATCTTTAAAATACAAACATTCAAAGATTACGTAATGGAACAAAAGTTTTCGACGGTTATAAACGAAAAATCACAATTTAACGGTTATTTTAGCTCCGATCTTGATGATTTTTTACAAATACACTCCTCGACCCTATAAGAATGTAATGAATAAATTTGATCTTTAATTTAAAGTATTTACACTAGTGGATACCACAAAAACTTATTTTATACTTAATAGAAGTATAATATTAACTCTAAGTGTTTGTTTCATCTACCTTTTTGACGCAATATGCATTATACCAAACTTTTTTCAACGATCCAACCGTCAAAATTATTTGTACACATTTCGAGATCGCATACGTAAAAAATCATAAAAAACAAACATTCAGAGATTACGTAACGGAACAAAAGTTTTCAACGGTTATAAACGAAAAATCATAATTTAACGGTAATTTGAGCTCCGATTTTGATGATTTTTTACAAAAACACTCCTCGACCCTATAAGAATTTAATGAATAAATTTGATCTTTAATTTAAAGTATTTACACTAGTGGATACCACAAAAACTTATTTTATACTTAATAGAAGTATAATATTAACTCTAAGTGTTTGTTTAATGTACTGTTTTGACGCAATATGCATTCTACAAAATTTTTTTCAACGATCCAACCGTCAAAATTATTTGTACACATTCCGAGATCACATACGTAAAAAATCGTAAAAAAAAACATTCAGAGATTACGTAATGGAACGAAAGTTTTCGACGGTTATAAATGAAAAATCACAATTTAACGGTTATTTTATCTCTGCTTTTGATAATTTTTTACAGATACACTCCTCGACCCTATAAGAATGTAATGAATAAATTTGATCTTTAATTTAAAGTATTTACACTAGTGGATACCACAAAAACTTATT